TGATTCAATGCACCAACCTGTGATCATAAGCATTAGTGAGAAACTACCTGGATCACCTCGTGATAACTGGGGATACAAGCGGGAGAAGCGCTACTAGATCGACCGCGACCAGCTGCCTGGCATAAGCGGTGAAACCCGAGCCGCCCACGAGGAGGACCTGATGGTTATCAGTAATGACCACGAGCCATCTGTGATAAGTTATATATCACAGATGGCTTGTGCGTGGAAGGTCGATCGGGCGGCTAATAGCAAGAATGATGTTGCGAATTCCATCTTGGTAGGGTTCACTCGATGTTAGAAGCGGATGTTCGCTTTGACCGACTTATATGTTCCGATCGCGCGAGTGAGACCCTGAGCAGCAGTTCATCCTTGTTGGGCTTGGGGATTCGTCCCGGCTAACAGAGAAGTTCAACAACACCATCGTAGCTATCAGATATAACCAAATAGAGTATTCAACATTCCGGATAAATCACCAGCAAGTCTGAGCTTGTGGCTACAGTATAACAAGCAAGTGAGGAAGTTTGTTTCTTCCATCATGGAAGTTCCATGAGTCTGGACGACAACGCCTTGACCCTAATGTCGTACTTCCCCCGCGACAGTGGCAAATCAGAGGTTGTGATGAGCGGTGCGTTCGACATACGCTTGACCTATGGCGCGTGTCTTCAGCCTGTAAATCATCTTTTTTGCCAATCTGCTCACGGCAAGGGCTTAAGTGTGGCCTTCAGCTATGATGCTACGCATATGGCGGTCTATAATGATGGCATACCCGTGAAGGAGTTCCAATCGGTATCCCTTCAATATTTTGGTATTGAAAAGAGAGGAGAAAGGGTTGGATGGTTTACTCTCTCTTATGGATAAGTTGGTCAAGAGGATTGGTAGATGACGGGAAAGGCCATGACCTTGGATCTATTCCTGACACTTTGACCATACACCATGGTTTATGGATATATGGTTTCGACCCGTCATACCCCACCTGATATTGTCCTCAAGGCGTGCGACTTCTAATGTTACGAGCCTTGCTCAACCTATGTCACCGTATACGAGCGTTATTATTCAAGATACTTGTTACGAGTCTGGCTTTAAGGGAGGTCTCTACGTTGAGCCTGCTGTGCTCTTGATATACAGTTGATCAGGCTATCATAGCCTGGCTATGTATCCGCATGCGTATGTTCATGCCGTGAACCTTCATAGCAAGTCTTACGACTTGCCCATTCTCCTTCGGACTCTTTGATCACTCTTTGATATAACAACGGTATTATCATCTTCATTTCCAACGAGTAACTCCGAGTCTTGTATCGAACCGGAGTTGTTACTGGGAAGGGTTGTGCTCTAGCCCACAATAGTCCCGTCTTGCAGGCGACACGAAGAGGTCCGAAGAATGAGATCCTTCCCGGGTTTCCACTGGATACTATCCAGCAGCCGCATACGTGAGAGAGAAACCAAGATCTTAAGCTCGTACGGAATCCGTACTACAGATGGGTTGCACAGAAATCCTTCCCGATTCTGCCCGAGCGAGGATTGACCACACGGAGAACAACAGCGAAGATATGAGTGGAGTCGCTTGTCACATTCGGCCGCATTGTGGGCCACATGAGAGGGCTCCTTGGATGAGATGTATAGCGTCGGCCAGCTCACTTCCTGGGACGGCGACCGGTAGCCGAATTTCGGAGTCGTAAGCTTACCCACCGCTACTTCTGGCCAAGCTGGTCTCTCGGTATGCAAAGACTATACCAGTAGCTGACCAGAACACTAGGCAACTGATAACAGCCTTATGCTGTCAGCATACAACCGTCGTGGCACGACGCTCTATGACGTAGCCGCCCCGCACCGTAGAGAGGACCATCCATGAAGACGCTGAGGCCCGAGTGTAGACAGAGGAAAATAACTGGGTGAATCTGGCCGCCTGTGCCATTACCCGGCAGTGTCGATTCGACACCGCATGAGCGCGGAAGATTACCCTCCAGACATTGATACCCGAGTCGCGGGAAGATAAGCAGTGTGGGATGGGCGACTCGACACCCATCGAGGCCCCAGTCGACAGCCAACGAGGAGCAGCGTCGTCCAAATCACAGGATTTCTCCTGAAGAAGGTACGGTCCCTCAAAGACGGCAGACGACCGCGCAGGGGAAAATAGAGGGATCAGACAGGACCTCGTCTCTCTCGCTACCACAACACTTCTCTGCTGTGATTCATCTGGCACAAGTAGCGATAGACTCAGGAATAGGCAGAAAAGAAACGGTGACAAAGAGTGAACGATTGAGAACTCAGGCAGATGATCACGAACCAACTCTTCCAACCTCAGACGAATAAGCCAGAAGACCACAGGACCTTTCGGCATCAGCTTGGTCAACTCGTAGGCTCGACGTATGCTCCCAATGCAGACATAGACTCCAGTCAAGAACGGAATTGATGCGCAGGAGAAGTGGTCCCTGAAAGTCAAATATGAGGTTCCACTTGCCGGT